TTTTTTAAAAATCAGTCCTTCCAAACTTTAAATTAACACAGCTATGTTCTATCACAGAGAAGTCTGGAAACCTTGACTGCCCTTTCCAACAGGAGTTAGATCAATTCTCAAGTTGTTTTTTTTCCCCCCCAGGTAAATTGGTCCTCTATTCAAGCATCTTACTTCATGAGGCTTCTTAACTGTTTTCAGAGGTTGTTAATTTTGCTAATTTCACCATTAAAACAAAAGGATCCACATCTGACCATAGTCTATCAGTTTGGTCTTTACAATACTTACCAAATTCTAATTTGAAAGAATATCTATGAAGACTGTTCAGTCTATCCACATTAAATTCTTTTTCGTGCCAGCTTAAGTGGCACCTTTTGCCTTTTGCCTGGCATCACTGGTGGCTGCTGCATTCATATCCCACACCACCTGACAGACTTCTTAGCAGTATGGATCCTCAGCTGCAGCAAAAATAAATGTAACACAACTGATAAAAACTGTGGCCAATCTGTGAGATTTATAAGACACCAGGGTGCCAAGACACATCAGCTAGAACAACAATTTTAGTCTCTAAAATGGGCCTCCCTTGTGGTGCAAGGGGTTAAGACTCAGCACTGTGAAGTTGTGAAGCTGTGCAGCCACACTGTAGCATGGGTTCAATCCCTGGCCAGGGAGCTGACCCACGTGGTGCAGCAGACTTCTCCGGTCCTGGCTGCTGCTCCCCTCAGCAGTGTACTTCAATGAATCTTCCTGTTTTGTTCCCCATTCTATCTCTGGTAAATCCTCTCACCCTCACCACACATCTGGGCTGTCGTACCCCAGCTCTTGTATGTCTAAGTTAATAAATCTTTGAAAATAATAAAATAAAATGCACTACCCACTAAGCTGCCCGAGAGCAGTATTCTTTACCACCTTCACGTTCACCTTGCCCATCGTGACATTCTCACCACTCCACAAGTACTTTCTATGTCACTGCTCGCTGATCCTGTATGGCCTATCAGCACAGAAGTTTGTAAGAACTTGTTTGCTGTTCTATTAGGTTGTCAAATGATCATACTTTACTCTGCATGGTACCCTCTCAGAGACCCATGAGAAATTTCTCTTTGGCCTCAGTATTAATCACCTTAACATTTTATGTCATGTGACAAATCATAACTGATCATGATTATTTCTTTACTTTTGCTCCTAAAAAGGTCAGAATAAATCTGTAGGTCATCACTCAAATTTCTCTGCTTGAATTCACTTTAAGTCAGTGTGCATATTGTGAAAGCTACCATAAAATCATTTTGGAGCAGGACAGCATATAAATAAAAAAAATTCTCCCTTGGTAGACATTTAGGTTATGTATACTTTTTACTACTTAAGATATAAGTCTTAAGTAGATGTTTGTCTTTAAATCTTAGTATAATTTTGACTTTTTTTTAAAAAAAGATTTATTTATTCATATAGAATTGGAATACAGGCCAGTGATGCGGAGGGTGAGAGGATTCACCAGAGACAAAGTGGGGAGCAGAACAGGCAGATCGAGGAAGTACACTGCTGAGGGGAGCAGCGGGCGGGTCAGGAGAGGTCTGCCTTGCCATGTGGAGCTCCTCCAGAGCAGTCAGGAATCGAACTCATGCAGAAGTGGCTTAAGCTTCTTAGTGCAGTGCTTTAACCCTCTGCGCCATCAGGGAAGGCCTAATTTTGACTTTTTTTTTTTGGTAGTTTTTCTAAAAGGCTTTATTTATGCATGCAGAACTAGGGTACAGGCCAGAGGTGCAGGAACAGTGGGAAGATTCACCAGAAACAGAGTGGGGAGCAGAACAGGCAAATCAATGAGTACACTGTGGAGGGGAGCAGCGGGTCAGACAAGAGAGGTCTGCTGTGCCATGCGGGTCACATCTCTAGTCAGGGATTGAACTTGTGCTTCATAGTGCTGCGCTTTAACCTGTTGCACTACCAGGGAGAGCCCTTTACTTTCTTCTTAAGGGGCCCTACGTGTTTCCTGTTAAGGCTGCTATTTATGGAAAAGATACTTTTATATATATATATATATGTGTGTGTGTGTTTATTTTTACATCATTTTGTGCATTTTTCCATCTCAGCTGTAATCCCTGTGGGCTTCCCATCACCATATCATCCATATGCCATCACCATAGTCTAGTGCATTTCCCTCCCCCCACTGGTTTTGGTCCCATTCCCCACTCCACTCCTATAAAACATCTCTGGGATATAGCTATTCATTATTATTTTCTCAACTGATCCGTTATACTCCTGCTTTGAGTGAAACCATTCGTTATTTTTCCGTTTCTTTCTGGCTTATTTCACTAAGCATGATCTTTTCCAGCTCCATCCATGTTGCTGCTTAAAAGGCATGTTTTTTTTTTGGTTGTTGAGTAATATTCCATTGTGTATATGTACTGTATCTTTTTAATCCAGTCATCCACTTTTGGGCATGTGGGCTATTTCCATGTCTTTCCAATTGTAAATAAAGCAGCAATAAAAATGGGGGTGCAGGTATCTGGAAAAGATCCTTTTATACTATTAATTTTCTAGCCAGTTATTGTTAGATAAAGGAAAACCTCCTGCTTTGGTACCTCTGTTATATACTCAGTTGCCTTACTGACTCAGTGGTTTTAACAGATTTTCAGTTGGTTTGGAAGGGCTATTTGTACAATTTCAATAATTAGCTGTCTCTTTCTCAAAATGGTAATTCTTACTCTGTTTCTCATCTTGCTACATTAAACTTCCAAAATTGTATGAAATAAGAGTTGCTGTCAACAAAGGTTGGTGAGGATGTGGAAAAAAAGGAACTCTCTTACACTGCTGATGGGAATGCAAACTGGTACAACCACTATGGAAATTGTATGGAGGTTCTTCAAACTACTGAAAATGAAGCTACTATATGACCCAGCAGTTTCACCCCTAGGAATCTACCCAACAGACACAAAAACATTAATTTGAAAAGATACCTGTACCACTATGTTTACTGCAACATTATTTACAATAGGCAAGTTATAGAAACCCAAACACCCAAAAATAGATGACTGGATCAAGATGTGGTATGTATCACAATGGAATACTATTCAGAAATCAAAAGATATACTAATGCCATTCGCAACTATATGGATGGAGCTAGAAGGGATTATGCTCAATGAAATAAGTTAGAAGGAAAAAGAAAAATATTGGGTGGTTTCATTTACAGAAGGGACATAGGGGAAGCAAATAAAGGACCAGGGAAAAAAACTAATTTTAAAAAAATCAACAAAATTAGTGGGTAACCATAAATAAGGAGAAGGAGAAAAGTAATCAAAACAAGAGAGAAGCACACAAAAGACTATGGTGATGATTCACAGGTGAAGTGGTGGTGAGAATTTTATGGGAACTACACGATGATGTAAATGATACCAAAAAAAAGAAAAAAGAAAAATTAAAGCATTGTGGTTGTTTTGTGCCCATTAGAAAATGCCTCTTAAGTATTTAATATATGAACATAATGCTGATTATTGGATTGAAACAGCTCTGTTATTTACATTCCAATTTTCATTACTTTTAAAATCAGGGATATGCTTTGAATTCTGATTTTTTTCTATGTTTTTTTTCTTTCATTGACAGACAAGAAAAATAACATATTGTTCTAACTTTAAATCATACTTTTATTCCTAGGCTAGGTTCTATTTGGTTATGGCAGATTGCTTTTTAAAACTATTTTCAAATTCCACTACATTTGATTGTTCATATTTTAGATATTATTGCACATGCACTTAGTATCTCAAGCCCTATGCTAGGCACTGGAGTACAAAGGTAAACATGAAATGGCCTGATGGTGAACTATTCTGTACAATCCTGTATTAGATACAGAACATTATGCATTTGTCAAAACCTACAGAACTACACAACACGAAGAGCAAACTTTAACGTGAACTATAGTGTTCAGTTAGTAATGTTGTCAACACTAGCTCATCAACTATACAAACTTATATACTAAAGCAAGCTGTTAGGAACAGGGGTAATTGTGCAAAGGAGAGGAGTTATGTGGGAATTTTCTGTGTAAGTTGCTCACTTTTTCTGTAAACCTAAAATTGCTCTGAAAAATCCCATCTAATGAAAATGATAATAGATTGGAGGGCGTGACTGAAAACTTAGAAATGGAGATAAAATTGGAGCCAGTGACTATAGCATCATAGAAGACCAAGAGTGGCAGACTCTTAAAGATGTCTTAACAAATGATGGTATAGCTGCTTCTCTGGGAAACAGCGGTGCTCAAACACACAGAGGCCTGTAGGACTCTGGCTGTCACTGAAGCCTCTGTATGTTTTCATCTCTTTGGTTTCAACATTCCTGATCTTTCCAGGTCAAGTGCCACCTGCCTAATGTTTAATCCAGCAAAACTAACTGGCTCACCACATGAAAATGCAAACAGCCTCATCCAGTAAGACTGCCTCCTCAAGCCTGCCAGGAAATGGCTATGTTACCTGAAATCACTGCAAACACTGTCCAGTAAATATGTACAAATTATATCTTCTCCAAAATAGGCATCTAAGCATAAGACCAAGTCTAAATATAATTTGGGTGCCACAGAAAATGGCTAAAGTGCCTTGCAGTTCAGAGAAGCAGTTTGAAGTTAGATAATAGTAGCTTTATAATATAGCAAGGAAATAGAAGTTTTTAACAGATAATGTCAATTTTCACTAGATTTATTATATTTCAGAGAAAAAGGCGAAACATTTACTATAGTCTACACTCTTTAAACACACTACCTAGTAGTGATTTAGCAAATGTTAACACTTTGCTAAGTTTGCTTCTCTGAATAATTCAGTGTTTAAAATTTTTTAAATATAAACAAAACAAGCCCCAATCCTATTTCTCTCTCTTTTTACCAAGAAACAAGCTCTGTCTTAAAATGCTGCCAACCAAATCAGTACAGGTATGTGAATATTCATAAACAATATGCAATAATTTTATGTATGTTTATGTACCTTACTGATAATATACCAAGCATATCTACTTCATTCACTTTGTCTTCATGGTATTATGACTGCCAAGAGTTTATTTCTGAATTGTCCTATTATTTTATACTGTAATTTTTTACTATGAAAACAAAATTGTTGCAATAAACATTCTCTACAAGTCCTTTGTGTGTGTGTGTGTGCGGGGGGGTGGGGGGGAATGAAATGAATGGTCCTGACCTTAGTCTTGAGATATTACACATAACATTTCCTTTCAACAGTGATTATGGAATGCAAAGGTCTGTAATAGAGCTTTCTGCAGATAACATCAGACTAGCAAAGGATGGCCTAAATCAATGTGTTTTTAATTTGTGGTTTTGAAAAACTGCCAGTTGAAAGAAAGTAGTATTAACTAAAAGAGAAGATGCAAAATACCAAGTACACAGAGTGTAGACAGTATTTCATGAAACTTATTTTCAGTTTCTTACAAACACCATTTTGTTTAAAATTTATGCATATAAGAATTGGGGTATAGGACAGAAGTGCAGAGGAGGGGGTGAGAGGATTCACCAGAGACACAGCAGGGAGCAGAACAGGCAGATCTACTGAAATACACTGCTGAGGGGGGGCAGTGGGTGATAAAAGAAGTTTGCTGCGCTATGTGAGTTGGCTCCCTGGCCTGGGGATTGAACTCATGCTGCAGTGATGGTGGTGGCTGAACTAGCCCCACAATGGTGTCTTTAACCCCTGTACCACCAAGGAGGACCCTTCAGTTTCCTACAACACATTTAACACACACATATACTAGATGAAACATAAAATATATTTCTTACTCAGTTAAAAAAAAGAAAGAAAGAGAGAAAAACACTGGTCAAAAGTATACCTAGAAGTCAGAGATGAATTCATCAGAGAAAGGTTTGAACTAGCAACAACTAAGATACAAGCCTAACCTTATGGGCAACTCTGCAGAGACAGACATACACATTAGCAAAACAACAAGAGACGGGGTCAAGAGGCAAGAACAGGAACACAGGGGAAGGGCACTAAGGGGCATAGCAAGTCCAGTTAGAGAGATGTACAGAGTGATGCAGGTTCAGGAAATGCTGAATATGCCACTAGTTGGAGGAGGGGGTTAAAGGAGATAGGGCTGGAAAGGCAGATGGGAGTCAGATGGGAAGGGCCCTTAAGGTCATGCTCTGGGGCTTCAGACAACTGTACCTTCAGACCACTGTCCAAGGCAGTGACTTTCCAAACTGCAGATCAAGAATCAAGAATTCACATTACGGAGTCATTACCATTATTATTTTAAAATTAAGTAGAAGAGAAAGAAAATGCCAGGTTGTGCCATACAGAGAATGAGTTGTATTTTGTGGAACTTTTGTTTCATTTAGTTTTATGCACATAAAAACAATTATGTTACTTATATAGAGTAGCCCCCTCTCCCCACCCCCAAATTTATATATATTATTTCAGGGTTCTGAGGTAAAGGTATCTCTTACTAAGGGTTATAGTTTAAAAAAAAAAAAAAAGATTTTGAAAGTTAGGGGGAAGTCATAGAAGGCTTATTAACAAGGGAAGGATATGACATTAATGAAAAGTCTGCCATTAACCTCCTGGATGTCAACAGCAATTCTGAACCACTTAGTGGCAATTCACCTTTCAAGAGGTTTCCCTTTCTTCTGGCTGACATGTTCCCACTATCTTTTTTTGTACTACATGAGAGACTATCTCTGCAGATGACTTCCTGAATACATAAAAAGTGAGAATGAAAGTACAAACTACTTAGATATAACTGGCAGTCTGTATTTTTGAGATTTGGGTTTTTGAAAGTTTTTTTAGTTTTCTCTAAAAAAAGGAAGGAGGAAAATGAACTATATATAACATATTACTGAGCACTTCACAAGGTTTTCAAAGTTACCCTGAAGAAATCTATCTTAAAATTTTTTAATTAAACTTTTGGTTATGATAACTGAAGCTCAACATGTAGTCACAGAAGCACCTCGGGATGCCATGTACCCTCTATCCAGTTTCCCACAACGATAGCATCTTATATACCTGTGTTCCAACCAGGAAATGACATAGCTAGGAATCTTACTCCAATTTCACCAGTCTACAGAAATTGCCTTTGTATTACGTTCTAGGCAATTTTACTCTACATATAGATTTGGTAATCACTACCAAACTCAAAATTACAGAACAGTTCTAGCACAAGGATCCCTTATATTTCCCTGTAAGAATCCTTCTATTATATAAGTCCAAATACTCTCACCACTAAGTCTTGAAGTTCCTCACCCAGATATAAATCCATCAACTGAATACTGTTAATCCCACTACCCACACTATAAGAAATAAACTTCAGTGTCACTCAAACAACATTATCACAACTGCACAGAAAAATAATACCACAACTGTGCAGAAAAATAAAAAGAACACAAATAGTGGAGTGTTAATTAGGATCATACATTTGTTTAAAAAAAAAATCTAGGAAATAGTACACATGAATAGTTTGGGAAGTCATGGTAGGTATATAGAAATTTAAATATACAACATATTAAAGTGGACGGACCAGTCATTTTACTTTGATATAGTTCAAGCAGCTAAACAATAACTGGCTTCCTGAGGCTCCAGCATGCTATCAAAGTGGAATGAGGCTCTAGATAATTATGCTCAGAGTATTTCTTGCAGCTGATCTCTAGTATAAGGGTTGGATGTCCAGATATCAGACCTTCCTCTGTCTCCCTGTACTCAGGTTGAGTAAGAAATATACGAGTGAAAAGCTTATGAGACCCAGAAGTATGGTGACCAACCATACTGTTTAACATGGAAGAAGGGTTTTCCAGAACTTTCAGTGTTAAAACCAGAAAAGTCCTGCAGCAAACTGGTTGGTCATCCTACCTGTGTATGCTATGGTTTATATCTAAGGTGTAAAAGTCTTAAAGCCTGAAGCAGACAAGCAACCCTTTTTGTGGTTGAAGATTCAGAATCTCGGGATGAGGAGGTATCAATGGGATGAGAATAAGGTGACCATAAACACATAGGTACCCATCATCTTCCTTTGGTCTACAAAGAAGTTGCCAAAGTTGAGATTTTCCATCTGTCAAAAATGCAATAGAAAGCAAAATTCTAGCTGATACACATTTTAAAGACTACGCTCAAACAGGTTACATAGCAAAAAAAAAAAAAGAAGAAAAATTACCTGTCAAAGAGAAAAGCATTTAACTTCAAAGAGTGGGTGGAATATCAAGGCAATGAGCAATCTTACAAATTGGGCATTTCAGCTTTTAAAGAAGCACAATACTTCTTATAATTTCTAAATTGAGTTACTTGTCCATCCATGAAAAAAATTTGACACTTTGCATTTTTTTAGAGCTGGTTAAAATGAAAGATAGCTGTCCCAGACTATCCCACACAGCCACCCACCAGTGAGAGGTGCACAGGCAGACCAGAGTGTGGAACCAAAAGAAGCTTGTGATTTTATATAACTGAATGTACAAGGCATTCTGCTACATACAAGTACACTGTTTCTACTCTTTAAGAAGTTCACAAGCTTAAAACAAGGCACAGATGGGCAAAAGGTCCAAAACAATTTACTCAGTGGCGTAATATCATTTCAGTAAAAATGTATGGAAGCCTAAATGAGGGAGTCAAACTTGTCAACCACAAACCTGACCCTAACTTCATCTTTTTCCTCTAGGCTCCTAATTCATCAATTCTTACCCCTCTCCCAAACCTTACTCAATAAAAAACTTATTTTTACTGAAACTGACTCCTCTCATGTACCTCCTCACCCCAATCTAGTCCTATCCTGCTCCTTAACCTATTTCCAAAATACAAATACGCCCGGTTAGTCTGCCTTAGATTCCTCTAGAGTCACATCCGCCGCTATCTACACTTTTTAGCCAGGTACATGCTACCTCTTTAGCCCCTCCTTTCATCCCCAGCAAGATCCAAACACTCTGAACTCCCAGACCACATTCACTAAATGGTATTATTTTTATGCCAGGGCTCATTCTTAGCACTGTATATAAATTTGTTAACTAGACAAAGTTAACTCAATGGGCTATATCTTCCAGTAAGTAAACTAAAAATAAATGTACTTAACTTCTGATACTGCTGAGTGCAATGAGGAAAATAAGCTGTAGAAGGGGACAACATGGTCAGAGACAAGGGTACTGTCTTGATTTAGTCTGGGCACAGCAGTCCTTTTGAAGAGTGAAGACTTGAGATCTAAATAATAGTGAGAGGAATCCATTTAAAAAGAAACCCTCACACACTACAGCACTTACATTGTATGACGTTACTCACACATACTTATATTCTTCTTAGCTGCGGCTCTAACAACAACCAAACCTGAAGCCGTCAGACTTCCTACTATGCAAAAAAATACTTTTTTTTTCATCTGAGGTACTAGCCATGAAAAATATTCTGCCTGGTCATCCTATCTGGGAAACACTAGCCCCACAGGCATTCATATGATTCTCTTCTAGGGCCAAGTAGTAGGATAAAAATATCCTGGGAGGGTAGGGGGTGTGTGGAGTTTATGCAAGAGAAGTAGAAAAGCAGACAAGGGGCACAGAGAGGAAGATAATAAGTTTAATGATTCTAAAATGGCTCTTTAAAGAAAGAATAAGCAGCAACAAAGGACATTTAACCAAATTTAAACAACAATGAAATGACATTCATTTTAGAGGTTACAATAGAAACATGGGGGGGAGGGAGAAATGTAAGTGAAGTCATAAAAAATTCTTATTTTGAAACAAAGTATATGAAAACCACTTTTAAAAAACTGGCTTAGATAATGTCAAACTACATTATTATCCTAAAAGTTCAAAGTAACAGTGAGACAAAACCATAAACAAAGAAAAAAAAAGATAGGAAGGACTTGATTACAGGATATTTAAAGATGTTTATTATTTACTTGCACAAATGAGCAACTTGTACTGGTGGACCAAACTATAATTCACTGTAACACCCATAAGCCTCAGTCAGGCTCTCACAAGAGCACAACTGAGTCTCCTCTGTTACCGAGCCTACATTCTGGCTTTTAGAACTGTGTCCTAACACCTGGTACAGTGAACGTCTATAGCATTTATGATTGGCAATAAGGCCCTTCAGAGAGCAGAAGTGAACACTTTCTCATGGAGGTATGCCAGCTTTTCTAGGCGAGTTCGTTTCAGTAGCGGGAACCATTCCCAGTAGGCTAACTCTACCACTCGGTATCCTAGTCGATTCAACTGCCGCCTCTTCATATTGTGCAGTCCAAGTAGATGCCTAGAACCATAGCAGTACTGGTTCCTGTTTGTCAACTGAATAGCCAGTTTCACTTGCGGGTGCTGTACACAGTCTGGGGGGGAGAAGCCAGTGATCTCCATGGCTCCCAATTTGTCAACCTGGAAATGTCCTCTTGATTTCCCTTTTAGTAGCTGATTCATCAAGTTATCTGTAAGGCTAACTCCCACGTGCTTCAGCCTCAATTTGGCTATATCTTCAGTTGGTGTGGTATCTGTGTTGAATGGCAGTGGCTTCATGTTAACATCAAGCTGGACCTCTAAGTCAGAGGATCGGGTATGAGGCAAAATCATATGGTGTTTAACATACTGACTACCACCCAACATGGTCTCAAGTAAAGAGAGCGCTTCGAGGAATTCAGGCTTTGCGTTCATATCATTTCTTGCTAAATTCCACAGAATTTCTGACCCCTCATGCTGAAGCTGAGAACTAAGACGGCTGCCTCCGTAGTCTGGACACTCAATGCCAACTGTTCCATCAAGAGTACACAACTCCTTAATGAGTTCAAACTTACTTCTCTCCTGAGCTAACCTGACAAACCTTGGACTCAAAGCAAAATCAATTAGTTCTACTGGAAAACACTCAGAAAATGCCAGGCCCAGCAGACAAGTGGGCAGGTGTTCTGGGTATCGGTTGAATTCAGGTAACTTTCTGTGAATTTCATTTATCAGGCTAGTATAAAACTCTTCTGCATTGGGCGGCTTATAATTCAGAGTTCCAAATGACCACAGAATCTTGGCGACATCTTTACTTCGGCAGTATGTTACTCTGGGTGGCAGAGAAGCTGCCACAGCATTCATTACCCCTTCGTGCAGGAACCGTAAGGCCGAGCAGGCAAGGGTCAGGTGCATAACACCCTGAACTCCCAGAGAAGAAATTCGGTGAGGAGCAATCTGTCCGAATCGTTTCATGAACTCTGTGTGATCCACATGAGTGAAACGGAACATTTTAAGAATATTCACTAAGGCATAACTACTCAGATGTTGCATGTCAGCACAAGCCACATCTCCAATTTTCCGCATGACAAATTCAGAGAGGCTACTACTTGATTTGAAGAACCCCAAACAGATTGTACCAGCCTCCTCTAAATTGATTAAATCTATATACTTGAGAACCAATGATTCCAGTTTCTGCATTAGGTCCTGAGGAACCTGACGATTTTCACCTATAATATATATTAAGTGAATCAACTGGGACAAGGATAAATCTTTCCAATGCAAATTAAGGTAACTAAAAAAAATCTCTAAAAACCGAGGTACTCTTCGGCCCAAATATCGCCAGAGGTCGGCTACCAAGAGAAGCTGATCGAGACTCATCTCCCACACTTTATGGCAAAATTTGGTTTCATAAACATCTAGCATTGAATGGGAGTGAGGGATTCCTAAACTGACAAAGGCTTTCAAAATACTGATCAGATCTGGAGCAGCAAAGACCTCTATATTTTTTATGCTCAGCTGGCAGAGCAGAGCAAAACTGGTATTGGACAGCAAAACAGGACGCTGCTCTGCAGGCAGAGAGCTCAGCTTACAGAAATAGTCTACAATGATTTGAGGCTGGAGATTATCTTGATAAACTGTGACTTTGTGCAAAATGAGTTCACCTTCTGAAACAGACAGAGGCTGACAAGCCTCAGATCTGCTATAGCTATGAAGTTGATATTCTGGTCTTAGCTGTAGGAAAATTCGGGGGTCTTCAAGGGAATCATAAACTTCTATACTCTCTTCATGAGTTCTGATGGCCCTGAGAGAGCCTGGCTTCACTGTGCTGGCCTTAGAGGCAGAAGCCCTGCAAAAGTCCACACCCAGGAGGGCACAGCTGGTGGTCAGGATCCCCTGGGAAGAGGCAACACTACAAATGTTCTTAACTTTTCTGGCCGGATGGTACAGGCTACTGTGTTCTGGAGACTCTTGTCCCCTGTGCTGTGCACAGCATCCCACATTCCAGTATGCCACTCTATGGGCTGCGCTGCACGCTAAAGGACTGCAAAACACTCGATTTCCTACGGATTTCAACAACTTGAGAGTGGTAGTCATTCTGGTGTCAGTACTGACCGTCGTGGCAGTCAGAACACAGTCCTCACAGGTTTGATCAGGTAATCTCTTGTTTCTATGGTGCTTGATCAGAGATGTCAGGGAGGCTTTCCACAGAAATTGCCTGGAAATCTTCGGCATTCACAAGAACCATGGATCACAAGTGACAGGGCCAGAATTGGTGCCAGATACTGAAAAAAGGGTAGATGAAGAATAAGTGGTTTCTACCTATCACAATATCAAAATTTACACATCACAAGAAATGGATTAAAACTTCACTGCCATTTACTCAAGTAAGTTCAATGGTAGTGAAAATCAAATCAACCTAAGTCAAAACTAAGAAGAGGGATAACAGTATAAATTAAGGATAAATTTCAGGTGCCTTCCATAAAGACTCAGGAAAGGCTAGACCCAGGGTACTCTCAGCAGTTTTCTGGACTGCTGCTCAGTCCAGACTTCTTTCTGGACTTTCTCTGTCCTCTGGTCAGATTTCCCTTACTGTAGAAGGAAAGCAGGGATGGTTAGAGAAAAGAGGCTGTCTCTGCTAAAAGGAAGAAGAAAGGCAGGGTCCTCCCTCTTGGCGCAACGGGTTAAAGCACAGCACTGTGAAGCTATCCGCAGCCACAGCAGCACGAATTTGATCCCCCGCCAGGGAGCTGACCCACATGGCACAGCAGACCTCTCCTGATCTGTTTGCTGCTCCGCTCAGCAGTGAACTTCATTGATCTGCCTGTTCTGCTCCCCACTCTGTCTCTGGTGAATCCTCTCACTGCCCCTGCATCTCTGACCTGTACCCCAGTTCTGTATACACAAATAAATAAATAAATCTTAAAAAGGAAGGAGAGGGCCCTCCCTGGTAGCACAGTGGGTTAAAGCACAGCACTAAAAAGCTAAAGCCACTTCCGCATGAGTTCGATCCCTGCCTGCCCCGTAGGTGACCCACACAGTGCAGCAGACCTCTCCTGACCCGCCCGCTGCTCCCCTCAGCAGTGTACTTCATCAGTCAGCCTGTTCTGCTTCCCACTTTGTCTCTGGTGAATCCTTTTACTGCCCCTGGACCTCTGGTCTGTACCCCAGTTCTGTATGCATGAATAAATAAATCTTTAAAAAAAAAAAGGGGGGAAGGAGAAAGGTAGATTTCCAAAAAGAGCAAAATGAGTAACTTATTCCACACCTGCTATTAATTCATAAAGGGCACACTTGGAGAATGAGAGAGTTGGTAAAAGTTGCCGTGCTAACACCAAATGAAAAGAGTGAAATTTTGGGATTCGGTATAAAGTTCAATCAATGTATATACCTACAATAATCCTCTCTGTTCCTAAAATACGGAATTACACAATTACAACTACAAAAGTCTATTGTTCTAACACTATTGTACCTTTTAGAAGATCTCTATTCTCCTCTCTAGGAGACTTACATGGGGTTTAAATCACTACCAGAGTAGACATGCAACTGGGAAGCATACTTACTCACTTTGATGGGGAAGTGCAGAAGGCCAAAGCCCTGCCCACTGTCAATTCAGGATGAAAGAGCTGGCTTCTCAAAGCTGAATTCACAGTTTAGGGACACCAATTCACATAACTGCCCTGCTAAAAAGCCAAGGAACCAAAGGAGTTTTCCCCTGGAGGCAGCAAGTTAGTAATGTTGATATCCTGCTTGTGAGCAGCACAAGTTCCATTTTTCTCTTGTGACAGAAACAACAAGGCTATGAAATTGACTTTGCTCAATTTTTGCTTTTTCTAAAGTTTAAAGTCCTTCCTTCCAATTGAGAATACCAAAGTCTGACAAGCAAACCACAGTAGCCCTGAGTTGCCAAGATAAGGGCCAGACATGGCTGTCACTGCAAAAAAAAAAAAAATCACATGAGGGCTCTGCCAGTGTTGGCTTGGCTTTCTTAAATGCCTACCCAGGTCACCTGTTGGTTCCTTCCTAGCCCACGGAACCAGAGGAACATAAGGCAGGCCAGAGGTTTTGCTCAGGTACACAGACTTCTGTGGATAGCAGGAATGAATGCTCTAATTTCTTTGAATCAGAGCAGAATTCTTTCACACTAATCTTTACATATTTAGTTATTTACAATGGTTTATGGAACATTCTGTCATCAAGTTTTAATCTATGGATCCAAATGCTACATACCAAGAGTCAACAAATTGTGGCACCAGGCCCAAACCTAACCCTCTCTCTGTTTTGGTCAAGTTTTATCTGAACATGGCCAGGCCACTAGCTACATATTGTCTATGACTGCTTTTTCACTGTATGAACAGAACTGAGCAACTGTGGCAGAAAGTACGACCTGTGAAACAGACAGTATTTTTATCTGACCCTTCAGAGAAAAAGTTTACAAGATTCCATTAGTTTATTCCTACGATTACAGGTGGCTACATTATAAAAGATTAGAAAATAGTATTAAAATAAGTTTCTTTTAAATGACTGAAGGCTTATACCTCAAACAGCCCACAGAAACCACAGTTACTACTGCAGCATAGAAATGATGGGAACAAAAGACAGAGTAAGTAATAAACTCTTCAGTTGACAGAATAGGGCATTTTAGGACCTATTTTGGATTCTAAGACAACATGCAACAAAAGCCATAAATTACTTAAATAAACAGACCTTCATTTTATCTTGGGAACTAAACATGACCAAACAACTAAAAAACAAAACAAAACTGAAAACACCATGCAGGAGAAGGGCAAGGGTATACAGGACATCAACACAAGAAAGAGTGCACACAAATATTCAGTGGAACAAATGGAACAAGCATGAATGCCACCACCTAAAATACACTTATATAAAAGGAAAGTAACTTTCTGTGTGGAGACCTTTTTGTGTATTTGTTAACTCCCCCCTCCCCTTTTTACTGAGGTTAAAATTGTTAACATGTAAGAGCACACGGATTAATTTCACAAATATGTTTATAATTTTAAAGGCACATCGGTTAAAATTACTTCAATCAGTACTACCCTAGAAAACAACAAAAGAGGGGGAAAATTCTACCTAAGAGTATTTGATGAAATTACAGTGGGTGGTCCTGAAATGAACAAAAGAACCACTTCCTGGAACTTCAGTGTCTGGTGTAGATCCACTGGTCTGAAATTATACTGTGCTTTCTAATTTGTAAAAGTACAGGTTAAGTCCCAGGTGGAAATAACAAAAGCTACAACTGTCTCAGGGCATCCTGTGCATCAACCCTTGTATGAATGCTTTATTTGCATTAGTTCCAACCCTACATCCTTTCTGTAAGGGAGGTTTTACTATCTCTCTATTACTGACAAGGAAATGAAGTCTTCATGGGACTTAAGAAACCTGATGAAGGTTGCACAACCAAAGAACAGAATGGAGTTCAACACGAATATTGTCCCAAACCCACTTTGCTGGTATACTGGAGAGTGGAGGGGAGTCAAGAGACCCTGAACAATCTGTTCCTCTGGGGTTTCCAAGTACCAGCGAGCTGGAAAGGATTAGAACTTGGTGTGCTCAAAAGCCCTACCCACTAATATAATCTAGCATCCTAGCTGTCACTATGACTATGTTATCTACAAAAACAGAAAGACCTCAAAGTCTGAAATCTGCATGAAGGAGTGGGTTTACGGGATGCCCCAGCGTCAAGGTAAAGCGATCTATCCCAGCTGAAGACCTTAATGTTGACAGGAGAGATGCAGGATCCAGAAATCAGGGTTCAACAGAGGAAAGAAGCAAAAGAAACCCCAGGGTAATAATGAAGATCCCAGAACAAGAGCTATAAGCAGACAGACACAGCAAGCAGTTCATGCTGAAGGAGATGGGTATTACCTGGGGATGAGGTTTAAAATTCTAATGGCTAACCTGGGGACAAACAAGAAAACAGAAAAATTAAGCTAGTAATAGCAGCAATAAAAGCTATTAATTTCAGGGAATCAAAAAAACTGAGACAGTTATAGTCTGCTCAGCTGTGAAACTTTACATAACCTTATTAATATAAATCTTGAATATTCACCTAACTAAAAATTATGAGTAAACTATTTTGGGAGGATGAAAGGAGAGAAGAAGGGCTTAGAGGGAGGTCAGGTGGAGACCTAGAGCCTCAAAGTCCATAACAAATAAGTCAAACATTATGTAAATTTAGGTACAGATAATTACAGATATAAGTATATCCTAGAAATCAAAAGAACACAAATGTGTTATTACAAACAGACTGATAAATGCCAAAAGAAAAAGATAATTAAAAGTGTCTCTGGGGGAAAAAAGGAGCGAGAATATTTAGTTATGAGCTGTGTGGAATTAATTGTATAAACCATGTATAAACCATTGTAACTTTCTTTAAAAAATATTTATTTATTCATATAGAACTGGGGTACAGGTCAGAGGTGCAGGGGCAGTGAAAGGATTCACCAGAGACAGAGAAGGGAGCAGAACAGGCAGACTGAAGTACACTGCTGGGGGGAGCAGTGGGACAGACAGGAGAGGTCCAAGGCGCCATGAGGATCACTTCAGGGGCGAAGAACAAACTCGCACTGAAGTGGCTGCAGCCAGATTGCAGTGCTGCATCATAATCCGTTTGCACCATCAGGGAGGGCCCTGTATATTATAACTGAAAAAATTTTAAATTTATAAAATGTACTAACTGAAAATTATTCTTCAAGAAGAAAATCAATGAAAGAAACAGTAACCATAGTGTTAAAGGAAAATGTTGAAAAGTTATTTTTAGTTCAAGCACTATCTATAGCTTCTTTATGGATGCCCAATACAGAAACAATGACAAAATAATCTTAGGATGATGCAAAGCAAACTACAAAGGCAAACAGTAGTACTTTTTTACTGTTCAACTACATATACACATCTGAACTGTAACTACTTCGTAAGTTGTTGGGTCTTGAGTACTATAGAAAAGGAAAGGAAGAGGGCCCTCCCTGGTGGTGCAACGAGTTAAAGCACAGCACTATGAAACGATCAGAAGACACTACAGCACAGATCCCTGGCCAGGGAGCTGACCCACATGGCACAGCAGATCTCTTCTGTCTGCCCGCTATTCCCTTCAGCAGTGTATCTCAGTCGATTCACCTGTTCTCTCCACTGTGTCTTCTCTCACACACACCCCTAACCCTCACACCTCTGGCCTACACACCAATTCTTGTAAGCATAAATAATAAATCTTCTAAAATAAATTAACATCCAAAAGTTAGAGGTGAGATAGAGCAATGCAGCCATGCTAACTGTAAATAAGGATATGATGCTCTCAGTATATTCAATTTACTGGATCTCATCCCTTAATTATCATATCTGATCATTTGCTATAAAGTTTTAAATACTCTCCCACCCCATGTCCTAATAAATTCTCATAAATAAGTGGATAGTTCAACCTTCATTACTGTCTCAGCAAATAATTTGTTGGGCAAACTTGAGAATTAAAAGAACAAAAGAAGGGCCCTCCCTGGTGGCACAACAGTTAAAGCTCAGCATTATCAAGCTATCCACAGCCACTTCAGCTTGAGTTTCATTCCCCAATCAGGGAGCTGGCCCACATGGCGCAGCAGACCTCTCCTGACCCGCCCGCTGCTCCCCACAGCAGTGTCCTTCAGTTGATCTGCCTGTTCTGCTCCCCACTCTGTCTCTGGTGAATCCTTTCAGTCTCCACACCTCTGGCCTCTACCCCAGTTCTTGTATGTGTAACTAAATTAATGTTAAAAAAAGAAAAAAAGTCACTTTCTCTAGGTACTGGAGCCTCTTCCTGAGTCTACAAAGCTGTAAAGGCCCTGGTGAAGGCTTAGCAATTGACAGTAAGGACCCTTAGCTATAAAGCAGATGCTAAGTGGGTTAGATTTCATCTGTTTCTGCATTCACTAAGAGCACAGTCTACAACAGAGCTAAGCCAAAGCAAAATCATTTATTACCTCCTTCACTCCAGTGCTTACAGGACAGAAAATAACGCATCACAATCATCGGTGAAACTTTTCTGCTTATATAGCCCTCCCTCCAAGACTCTGTTTCCTTTCAGAATGACAAGAAGTGTCTGGGTAGTATAATCTGACAAGGTCCCACAGATAATGTTTGCAAAGGCTTTCATAAGACTGTCTTAAGAACACCTCTGGCTATGACAACGAAGAGCTGACACTTATGTTTTTTCAGTTCATCTAATTGGATCTACTAGAAGACGAACAAAATCCAGGCAGGTAAAGAAAAGTATCTACAACCTCCAGTCATGTGAAAAACTTCCCAATAAATGGTTCAAGTAACTATTACCAAACACCTGATTTTATATGTTTAGCTCAACCAAACAATTGGTTTTCTGTGTTGTCCTAGATTTGCAAAGCTGCACAGTGTACTATTTCAAAAAATTTTGATACCAAGTTGACTTATGTGCATGATGAGTGGCAAAGTCTTGTTAGGGTCCAGAAAAATAAGCCAATGAATAGGGAAGAAAACCATAGGGCAACTAAGCTAAGCCTGTAAAATGTATCATGCAGCACTCAGTTATTTTACTTTGATCTGCCAAGCAGAAAGGAATTCACCCCAGAATTTGCCCAAGACCATTCACAGTAGTGAAATGCGGAACCTTGTTCTGGAAAGGCAGTTGTTCTTACTATTCACAAAATGTGCCCAAAGTGTGGAAAACATGAATTCGGATTCAAATGACTCGAGTACAAATTACCAGTCAAACTAAAGCAGTAGGCTTACCAGCTCCTTAGGAGGAAGCAATGCCAAGGGTCTACAGTGAATGAGCACTGAGATCAAGGAACATAACTGAAATTCGAAGTCGAGACACTCGTGATTGGTACGAAAACACAAAAAACAATTATTTTAACCCTGAAGAGAAAAAAAAGAAAGGGACATGAACTAGAGCTATGTACCACTGTTAAAAATGAGGTAAGTAAGTACTCCCTGGTGGAAGGTTAAAGCGGCACTATGAAGTGTCCGCGGCCACTGCACACGAGTTCGATCCCCGGCCAAGGAGTGACCCACATGGTGCAGCAGACCTCTCCTGTCCTGCCCGCTGCTCCCCTCAGCAGTGTATCTCAGTAGCGCTACCTACTCAGCTCCCCACTCTCTCTGAATCTTCTCATCCTGCTCTCCTCTGGCCTGCACCCCCGCCTTATCTGCACAAGCAAGTAAATCTTTTTTTTTAACGAGGGAAAGGTGTAAGGACCTGAAGACCCACCACGCCCCCGGTACTAGGCAAAATGCTACAGGGTCTTACAGCTCCAAGGGTGGCCTGCCGGCACACCAGCCTCCCCAACAGCGGGTTAGAAACACAGGAACTCAGAACCCCCAGCCCACCCCCATCCAGCCTCCCACAGAGCCAGAAGCTCCGGAAGCCCAGGTAACGCGCACCCTCACTGCCCTGCGGTCAGAGGGCGGCCGGTCTCACTGCATTCGCACACAGCTCAGTGAGGCGAGTACGGCTATTCTCCGTCTCACGGTCCGGATAAGCCTCGCGCCCAAGGCCACAAGAACTCCCAAGTGGCGGGTCGCCGAGGTTCTCAGGAGCTGGGCCGCGAGGCGCGCCGGCCGCCCCCGGCGGGTAGCGCGGGCCGGGCCTCGGTGCGCACCGGCCGTGGCCCGGACAGGAGGCGTGGGCCAAGGCCCAGAATGGCCAGGAAGGGCCACCGCGACGTCCTCCCAAGACGCCGCCACTCACCTGAGTCTGGCGTACGCGGACGCCGCGATACCAGACTCCAGACGCGCGAACTACCGCGCCGCCGCGCCACCGCCGCTCCGCCAGCGACACCCCGGCCCCACAGACCCACTTCCGGCCAGCTGCCCGCTACTTCCGCCTGCTGCGCGGGTGACGGGTGCGGCCGAGGCTCAAAAGACCCCGTCAGCGTTCTCCAAGGACGTTTTCTGCAAGAGGACATTGCTGAGGAGCCCGGGGGAGTCTAGGACCTGCGGAGGGGTAACACCTCCTTGGACCCGCCGCTCTGAAGTTGTTGAAAAGGATAGACGCTGGTTCGAATCCCGACCAGCACTCCGGGCTCATGGTCTCGGAGAAGTCATGTAAACTGAGCCTACCTTCTCAGCGATACAAGGAATGCGATCACGCATTGATAGTAGAGCTATGTCTATGGAGTGCTCCCCGGAGGAGCGTTAGTGATGGATAGAGGAGCCCGTTAGGGGAAATGGATTTGAGGAGATGGAACGTAAGGAGGCAGAACTGAGACGGATGACCCAGGTGATCCTCCACCTCCCTAAGTAGGGGGCCTCATCCCTGAGTCGGTTTCACAACTAGGTAAGCAAGAGACCTTCCTGAGCGGTCTGCCCCAGACTGCCGGCGAGCTTCTGGTCGGCCTTATCTTGTCTCCTCGGTACCTTGGCTGCCGGTGCACCTATGGTAAGAACTACGATGGTGCCCCCTACAGGGCACCATCTTGTAAGGGAAACAAACCAATGTCGGGTGGACACATAACAGCATCCCAACTCCTGAGCGCTGCGTAGGGCACCGACTGCCTGAGCATAAACAGGTGGGGTCCCAGGACACCACTGCTCAGGGTGAGTTATCAGGGTGAGGCCAGACCCAGGCAAACACTGTTAATTGCCAGCAAACCCAGAGAGAATACAGGGCACATGCCCAGGGGATGAACCTGAATGGCCCCTAAGCAGCCTTGACAGCCCTATTCCTCTTTGCCAAATACTCAAATCCCCTGGCCTCCCTTGCAGTGGGAAGAGCAAGTGACTCAGATCTGACCAACAAATTGGTAAAGGAACGGTGCTGGGTATATTCTCGTAACTATTTTACTCTTATGATAAAGTGCTGCCTTAATTCCTTGGCAGAACTGTGGCATGGAGGGGACATGCTAAGAATGGGGGGTGGGAGGATAAGTCTAAGTCCTTGAGACACCCACACTCTTGACACAACATTGACATCCAGATTTTTAGCCAGGCACTCTTTGAGGTCCTTTATATCAGGTGGTATCATTTATAGCTGCTGAATATATTCTTGATTGGGTCGCTTTGGAAGGTGCCAGAAGAGCAGTACTAATCCCCAAGGGACAGATCCCCACTCTGGGCCTCACCACTGACAAACCCGGTCTCAACCTCCCCATGAATGTAGTCTGCACTCAGACAATGGCCATCGGCCGCCAGGTGGCTCAGGCGGCCACAGGCTGCATCTAGCTGTCCTGCAACCCCTACCTTTTGGCCAGCAGCCTGTTTTCTAGATTCTGAACTCAAACCAGCTTGGGGAGTGTCTGAACTGAAAAGAAAGCCCTGTTGGCAGAAGCATGGAACCATGACTCCTCCCAGCAACAGAGAAGCACAGGCTTTGGGCCAACCTCCTAGCAGGGCCCAGCCAGCACCTTGGGTCTCATGCCTCCTCTGGGAAATGTGTTTACTCCAACTTAGTCCTCCATGGCCCCCCTTGCCCAGGCCTGACTTCTGCAACTCAGAGACACAAGCAAGCCAAAGAATGTCATTCAAGAGGCTTTCTCCATTTTTATTTCTTTGGGAAAAGAAAATGAAATCTTTCCATCACATATGGTAGAGATATATATTTATATATATATTTATATATAATTTCTCTTGTGGTTGGAAGTCCCAAAGCTGAGTCTGTTCATCTTTTTTTCTATTTATTTTTCTTACTAATGCCTTCTCTTCCCCTTGCCCCTCTGGCCCAGGCCCAGTGAGGGGTGAGGGGAACGGGCAGTGATTGCCAGGGTAGTCCCCTGTGTAGCTCAGAGACCTGGTAAGGATCACCCAGAAGGGTCTGTGCAGAGGGACAGAGGCCACATGGAGGGGCACTCCTGTTATTGTGGGGGATGCACAGCTCATTAAACAGTCACCAGTCTTGGAAGGAGGCTGGTCAGGGATTGGGGGCTTGCTCACAGTAGTTGCCAGCTCTTTTCACCCTACCCCCCATAAACCCAATCTTGGGGATGGGAGGAGAGTGAAGAGAGAAATATAAGGGCTGAGGGCCAAGCCTCCTCCAATTTTTATTGCTGGTGAATTAGAAATTTGCCTTTCCCCTCTTATCTTGGGGAGATGGACCTCTGAGAAGCCTCAGAGGAGGAAGTGGTATTGGCCACCCCAGCCCCACTGGTGGCCATGCCAGGTGGACTACCTCAGGGGCCTGGAAACCCAGTGTTCCTCTCAAGTCAGCCTTGTTTTTCAAGGGTACTCACAACCACCATCGTCTGACAACCCCCCCCCCCAAAAAAAAACAAGGGTGCTGGGCTCAGGCTTGGGCCCAGTGGAGCTTGGAAGTGGGCAGTGCACCAAAGATCAAGCAGAATTTTCTATTGGAAGAAAAGCTGAGATTTGGGGGGAAGTGGCCTGGGACAATGATATTCTGAGCATGAAAGCAGAGCAGCTGGAGGGAACTGAGTGGGGGAAGACACAGGAAGACATCACAGACACTCATATGACCTCAGAAACTGGGTGAGGAGAGTGCCTGAGGCAGGTAGCACTTACTAGCTGTGGTTAGAGCCAGACAGTGGCCCTGGGTGTGGGGTCAGCCAAGCAGATGAGGCTGTTGCCCTGTGGATCCTAGCTAGAAGGGTGGGAAAGAGCTAAGAAGCCTCCAGGTAACCCTTCCCAAGAACAGGAGGGCAGATCTTCCCTGGGCACTGAACACACACATGTGAACACACACTCAGGACCAAGTTAGGCTCTAAGGCCTGAGCCCAAGAAACCTTGGGGGGGAGGGGCTGGGCAGATAGCCTCTCAACCACTAACAGGCCATCTGCTCCACTTGTCCTGCCCATCTGCCCATGAAGGGAGAATAGTGCAGGAAGGAGAGAGGCCAGGAGCCCAAGGTCTGTCAGATTCGGCAGACCCTACGCCGGCCTCCTCAAGCTGCACAGCCTAGGAGGTGAGCGTAGAGAGCATCACTGGACAGGCTGGCTGACTGGCAGGAGCGGCCACCAAGACCCACCAAGGTCCTGGGACACCTCACAGCACTGCAGGCCTGCTGCCTCCATCTCCAACAAGGAAGTGCCAAGAAAGGAAGCAAGGGCTCCCCTGCTGCCTGGGCTCCTCCATCCTACTCACTCTGAGACCCCCCCCCCACGCCTTTGGAGGAAGGTTCACGTGGGCTGCCCAGAGCAGGGGAGGAACCTGTTCAGCTGCTTTGAGAACCTCTTTGGTCTGGGGATATGGGGGACACAGGGAAAAGAGATGGAAGGGAGGAGATACTGGGGACTCTGGCCTTTGACAGGTGCTCTGTCAAAGGCCGCATGCCCAGGTAGGGGGTCAGATTTCTGTGGATTCAATGCGCTCAAGGCGGGAGGGGGTCCAGGCTTTCTTCTCCTCGCTGTGTTGGGGGGTAGGGGTGCTGGCACCCCCTGAGGCCCCACGCTCCCTCAGCCTCCGCTCCAGCTGCTGGTTTCGCTGGTACATTTCCACGTAGCTCAGCTGCAGCTGCTTTTGGTACTCGATGACCTTCTCCTTCTCCTCCAGCCACACTCTGCGCTCTTCTGCAAAGCTGGCACCCTGGCGCTCTCGGGCTCTTCGCTCAGCTGCCAGCTCAGCCTGCAGCCGCCCTACCTCCCTGCGAAGGGCCCTTGTCCCATTCTCCCCGCCAGCATCCACCTCCCCATCCAAGGAAGCCAAAGAGGCAGCAGCAGCCACCCCAGCCTGACGGCGCATCTTGGCCTCATCACTCTCGCAAGTGGCCAGCGCATCCTGGGGCTCGGTGGGGTCCACAGGGGTCAGTGCAGGCTTGAGGCAAGCTGCAGGCAGCTCCCCCTCGCTCAGCTCCAGACTGGCCTGTTTGCTGCTGAAGGAGTCCCTTAGGCTGAGCAGCTGCTCCTCCTTCTCCCGCAGAGAAGCCCGGCCCTCGCGTAGCTGGGAGCGCAGACCCACGATCTCACTCAGCTTCTGGGACACGTCCGCCTGCGAGTCCTTCAGCTGCTGCTTCAGAAGGGAAATCTCCCCTGCCTTCTGGCACACCTGGACAAGGTCAGGGGAGAGAAGCCAGGGTGAGGTTAGTGCTCTGCTCACCCCCACCCTCATATCTAGCCCCACAGGCACCAAGCTTTGCCAGGGTTCAAGGTCGACTGACATGACACCATGGAGCCCACTCTTCAGATCCAGATGGGACCGACCTGGCTAACCTTGGCAGGTCCTCAGACACTCCTACTGGATTTTGCCCGTCCCTCTCCCTTCCCTCTGCTGTGACAGTGACTCTGGGTTTCTGACGGCCACACGGGAGACAGTCCAAGGCCCCAGCCCGCACCTCCCATTTGGTTTCCTCCATCCGGGGCAGGAAGTCGGCCTGCTCCTTCTGACACGCGGCCACCTTGTCCTCGAGCTCTTCCCGTTGTCGCATTAGCCGGGCAGCCTCCTCCTGCAGCTGTTTTTTGTCCTGCTGCAGCCTTAGCACCTGCAGCTGTAGGCCCTGCTGGGCACGCTGGGCACGGCGGGCCACCTGCTGCAGCTTCCCGCTGCAGCCCTGCCGCAGCTCAGTCAGCTCTCGCTCCCACGCCTTCTGCCGCTCCTCCAGCACCTGGGCCACGGCCGCCTCACTCTGCTCCAGGCTGCGTCGGAGAGCTGCCACCTCCTGCTCCTTCTCCCACAGGCGCTCCTCCAGCTCCTGGATCAGAGCACTGGGCGAGGGAGGGGAGCAGGCCGCAAACGGCAGGCCTCCGCCTCCACCCTCCCCTGTTCCCAGGTGGCCGGATCGACTCATGGATGAGGATGACCCACTCTTACTGGAGGCCCTACCGCTGTCGGAGGTCCCCAGGTCCTGGTAGCCTGACCCCCCACCACTGCTGCTGCCGCCACTG